GTCTTACCCACTTGGCCGTGCTTCTAGAAGCCCCCGACTACTCTTCAAAGTAGACTTGCTCTTGAGCTGTGGAAGACTCTTGCCAGTTGGGTTTCATCGCTACATCTCAGCTTGAAGAGTCTCCAGCCCACTAAAGTTGCACTTATAGAGGCGAAGATTAAAAAAAGAGGACAGATTTTCAGTTGACTCAAAGAGTTTAGGTCAAAGGACTGAGAGCTGCAAGGGAAGCAGATTGGTAGAGAGCTCCCCACCCATTGTATCTCAGTTAATTCTTTTAGAAATTCTGCAAGAAAGTATAATTGTGGCCATTTTATAAACAATGAGACGGAGATGCAGTGATGTACTACTTATGCACAGTCTAGAGTTTCCAAGTGGCAGGGTTGGAATCAGAATCTAGCATCAGTTGGCTCTGGTTCTAAAATTCCTGCTTCCTGCACCACCAACTAACCTCTAGATGTAAGCTCCCTAGCTGCAAAAGGGGTGACAGGACAACTGAAAACTCCTGTCTCTTCCTGCTGACAAATATTTGCCAATATTGCTGGAGGCTTTCTGCCAGATACCCAGAGAGCTTGTTTATAAAATAAGGCTCCTAGCCTTCTCAGCATTACCAGACTTGAGGAAGGGCTCCCACTTCCCAGACGTCAGGACTCCTCTGTGCTCTGTTCCCTTCAGGCTTCAAAACCAGACTCCTGCAAGCTTAGCAGAAAGGTAAATAAATTGTTCTCTGCAGCCCTGGAAATCCCCGATAAGAGTTCTAAAACCTTCTCCAGTCCACAAACTTTGCATTAGAATAAAGTGGAATTATGAGGTCTGGGTTTTCATCTATCAAGCCTGGAACAAATAATATCCCATCCTCAGTCTCTTTATATGTAAAATAAAAGAAGCCAAAACATTTGTGGAGAGAATTCATAGCGGATGAAGAACACACAGTATAGCACAGGGGTGGCGCTGGCTAATTGCCTAATTATTACATGACTGTAGCATAGAAGCCTCCCATTGGGGACTTCTCTGGGGGAACTAGTTTCTTGCAGGGACTGGTTGGATTTTTATTTAGTCCACCTGGTAATAAATGTGCAGTCATAAGTGGCTAGGTGTGAAAATTACTTAGGCACGTGGGAATCCCTTCAGTGATGAGTCAGGTGAGTTCCAGAAGAGCAGGGGCTTCTAACGAGAAACATCCAGTCGGACACTCATCCTTAGCATTCCTGGCACACTCAGAAGTTAGGGCCTGATCACCAGAGTTATCCTTCAGGAAAGACTCATCAGTCAATAAAAAGGAGAAGATGAATGTGGCAGAAAAGAAAGCCAATACTTTATTCAGAAATTTAAATGGATAATCCTTAAGTTCAGTTTCTTCCTATTTTACTGTATCTATTATACCCTTCAGGTTTTATTTCTTCTTTCAGGTTCTTACACTAGGGAGACAACACACTATTTACACATGTGGGTCTGATTTATTTCACTTATGAGTATAGCCTCTAGTTGCACGCACTTACCTATGAAGGCTTCAAGTTTGTCTTTCTTTATAGCTCAGTAGTACTCCATTGTATAAAGACACAGCATTTTCTTCATCCATTCCTCAAGTGATGGACATTCTGGTGGTTTCCAAGATTTGGCTATAACCAACTGTACTGCTATAAACACAGGTGCACATATATCATTATGGTGTGTTGTTTTCAGTTCTTTTGGGAAAATACCCAGAAGGGGAATAGCTTTTACCCTTCAAAATAAAATAACAAGAAATATAAAAGGAATTTCATGAAGATTATACTTAAAAGTTTTCAGATTAGAGTTTATTCTAAAATGTCACTGTAAATCCCCTGGATAATGGAACAAGTTAGCAAAAGACTTGGCAATGAAGAAGGGTGTGGTCCCTGCAGAACATCGACAGACCTCCTGTGGGTGGCATTTTAATTAATCTTAACTGAGCAGGAGGCATTAGCTCTAAGAAACTAAGGCACTAGATGATTAAGGGACCTATCCCAGAGGTCCCTAAGGTTAAAAATTCATTCATCTCCACAGCAAATTCCTTCCAAAATACTAAGGATAACATGAAAAACATCAGTGGGACATGTAGCATTGTAATTTCTAACTAGAATACATGAAGCCTCTTTCTGGCTCCTTCCAGGGCCTTGCCTTCTGGAAGTGGAGGTGGGCATAGATAGGGCACAACTGGCATCTTTGACATACAGAGGTTTATTCTGACAGCAACTGAATAGTATGGAAATTGGCACTCGAGTACAGGTGCGTGAGGGACTACATTTTGGCCTTTTGCCTCTAACAGATTTCAACAAATGGCTCCTTCATATTCCAAATCCCCTCTTGATCTGCTTAAACGTGCCAAACCTGCACATGCCTAGTAATCCGTGCACAGTGGAGTACAGGACACCCAACTCTCAGTTCCTTCCCATGGTGGAGAGCTCACCAAGGTGTCCCCTGCAGTCCTCCCAGCTCCACAGGGACCAGGGTGGGGTCATGGTGACACAGAGGAGAGAATCTATAGCTCCCAATCTGCCAGGTGTCAGATATGCCCAGTTTGTGCTCTACAAAATTAAAGAATGAATTCTAAGGAATGACAGGAATTAAGAGTAGAGAAACTTATTGAGAGATAGAGGCTGGGTTCCTGAGAGACAAGAGGGGACCTGAACATGGGTTGCCAATGAGACCTCTTCTCAATGGAATTTTTTAAAAATACAAAATAGTGATAGGAAAAAACAACTTAGAAATGATACAAAATTTCACTAAACAAAGTAATAGGAATTCAACAATGGTTTCTGTATTACATGGTGCTGTCTCAATGGAAATTTTATAGAACAAAATCATGAGGTGGTACGACATGGGTCAAAACTATGATCAATATGATTATAGTATAGATGTGCAGGTAATATTGATCCAATGGAGAAGCAGATCATGTGGCAAGCGTGCATGAAAAGAACAAGGACCTTCTTTAGGAAGCGATGGATGGGAGTGTTGGTCCATCACCAGGGTGACTGAGGTTTATCGAAATTTTACTGGACCAGGTGATATCAGTTATTCCCTGGGAGAGATGTGGAGGCCTGGCCCCCAACAGATGCACCTCCAGGTGCAGCTGTACTGCGTTGTCATCCTCTGCACTGACTCCCTGGAGGGCCTAGACCTGCCTTAGCTGTCTATAATACTAGAACAAAGGGAACCCAAAGGAGAGGAGGAAAGTGTGTTAGTGAACTAATCCCAACAAAATAAAGCTCAGCAAAATAGAAAGATGGATGGATTTGCCTCATCCTGTGTGTGTCGAGGACCAGCCAGATTAGTCTCCTAGATCCGCAGTATTTATCTGGAATTTACACTGGCCCCGCTTCCTCCGTTCCTTACCTAGATGGCATGTGGCTTTAGCTTTTATTATGCAGTGACCATAGCAGTCCTCCCACGTGGCTCTTTTTCCACAGAATGAAGAAAGGCATTGGCTGGGGGGAGGGGAGAGGGCCTCCACTCTCAGGCAGCCTCAGGACCCCAGGGGATATGGCACAGGAGTTTCCATCCTGCAAGCCTGAGCCAGAACGAGGGAGCAGCTTGGATGGGATTTTGAGCTTAGAGTTTATTTATGAAATCAAGCTGCCTGGGAAGTTAAATGAGGTTTACAACCAGAAGTCATCTTGGGGGGTTTCTCTCGGTGGCATCAAGGGATGGAGCCAAAGCGTTTGAAGGAAGAACACCCATTCCAGGACCCACTGATGAGGGGAAGCTCTGTGGCCACCTCCAGCCCCTCTCTTCCACTCCCTGAGCCCCCACTAAAGTCACAGAATGTCTGTAACACAGGTGTTCTTCTGATGGACAGACTTTAGGGGTCTGTGGGCCTACCAACCATGCATTTGCTTTGATTTTATACGTAGATGCGTTTTGGGAGGAGTTTTTTGTTGTTTTTGTTTTGTTTTGTTTTGTTTTCTGGGCTAGGCATCTACAAGTCAACAAGTTCTCAGAGACACCTACCTTAGTAAAAAGTCAAATCAGACAATCTGGAGTTGGCCTTGGACACAGGCTGTCAGAGTTGTCCTTACCTGGCTGCAACAACCCTGTCTCACTCGAGAGTTCTCACACTTAAGGTGATTGACAACACAGTCTCATCTCTGTAGAGCAACAGTATTTTTCTGGAATAATTAATTTGTATTAATGACTCATTTTTCCCCGCAGTAGAGATGAGCATCTCCCCTGCACCCAGCCAGCCAGAGCCACGCGGGAGTGCTTTATAGATCGCAGAGCTGCATTCCAAACGCTCGGGTTTTACTGGCCTGGGTTGATTCCAAAGTGCAGCTGGACTGGCCACCCTCGTAGACACACAGTGAGCAGCAGCAAACACAGGGGAACTTAATCAATGATGGGGAACGCTCACACCTCCCATTCCTGGTGACTAGGTAGAGATGTCTGAAAGGCTCTGTGCAGAAGCTTTTAAAGCCGGCTCCCAACTCAGGATGGGAAGTGTTCTCACTGGTATAATTTCTAGAGGATGGGAATCTCCATATGTGTACCCACTTGTATCTCCTTTGAAATGGTTAGTGTGTCCATGTACACAGAGCAGAATGTCCCTTCTGGTCCCTCCACCCGGAAGCACACCTGGCTCTGGGAGGCCAGGCCGGACAGCAAGGTTCTTTTTCAGCCTCTGCATTTGCTTACAGCAGCTAGCACTTAGTGTTTGCCATACGGCACTCTCAACACATTCCATGTATTAATTTAGTCTTTGTGGTGCTCTCATAAAAATGATTATTTATATCCCCATGTTGTGTAAGGCGAACAAGGCACAGAGGGCTTATAATTTGTCTAGGCAGTAAGGGGCAGACTTGGGATTTGAACTCACGCCATTGGGCTCTCCAACACACTTCGCAGCTACAGAGTTACAGAGCTACCAGGTCCAACATGCCTTCCCAGTGGGCCTGTAAAGAGAGACGATTCACGCAGCCAGGCGCAGGACAGCCAGTCTCCGCAGAGAACCAGCCACCAGAGCCATAAACCTTCTTTTCCTCTCACAGGCTTCATCCCCCCACCTCTCATCTTCGGGGCCGGCATCGACTCCACCTGCCTCTTCTGGAGCACGTTCTGTGGCGAGCAGGGTGCGTGCGCCCTCTACGACAACGTGGTCTACAGGTACCTGTACGTGAGCATCGCCATCGCGCTCAAGTCCTTCGCCTTCCTTCTCTACACCACCACGTGGCAGTGCCTGAGGAAGAACTATAAGCGCTACATCAAAAACCACGAGGGCGGGCTGAGCACCAGTGAGTTCTTTGCTTCTACTTTGACCCTAGACAATCTGGGGAGGGACCCCGTGCCCACACACCAGACATATAGGACAAAGTTTATCTACAACCTGGAAGATCATGAGTGGTGTGAAAACATGGAATCCGTTTTATAGTGACACAAGGAGGGCTGAACTCTGTATTAGTACTCAAAGGGGCATTTTCTTAAAAAAAGAAAAGAAAAAAAAAAAAGGTCTCCCAAAATCATCCAACACACACACACACACACACACACACACACACACACACACACACAAACTTTGGTCTTTTTGCTCAAAATCAGAACCAGACATGATTCAGAATAAGCATGGGATGGTCCTGGAGGGCACTCGCACTGCAGGGGCTCAGCGTTGGCTTTGAAGGCACCTCGTGGTCCTTGGGATGCTGACAGCTGCAAGCAACAGGCACTAACAGACTCAGGGCACATCAATGGGCAGCTTGGAGGATGGACACTTCTGGATACAGAGAGAGAGAGAGAGAGAGAGAGAGAGAGAGAGAGAGAGACAGACAGACAGACACTGGCAGAACCAAAAGTCTAATAGAATCACACAAGGTCAAATTGAAAACATTGAGATTCAGCCCTAGCCACAGAGCCCTGTGCTGCCCTCTCCCTCCACATGTGGGTGGGCTGCCCAAGAGTCGAGGGCCGGATGCCCTGCTCCTCTACGTTTCCCATTATGGGTCACTGTGTAGACAGCTCACCCAGTCTGCATGTGATTGGAGGCCTTAGTGCGCTCTCAACGATGCTAATGGGTGACCCTGGCTGGAGTCCGTACTTGATACCTGTCACCAGCGCCATTTCCACGTGCAAGACTGGAGGCCCGTGGGGGAGACAGCACCTCCCCTCCCTTGGCGGCACCCTGCAGTGGCAAACGCCACCTCCCCCAACCCCACAGAGCGACCTCAGGAAGCTGTGGACCTCGCCTGGCTATGACTGACCTGCTCAGAGCTGGTGAGCCCCAAGTCCAAGTCAGTTGCTTACATTTGCCAAACACATTGCCATTTTTTCAAAATCCAATGCATATGGATTTCCAAATGTTGTATGTATATTCCTCTAATTCCTATTTTTAACTACTACTAAAATCTGTGTTAACCCTTCAGTCACTAACACAGTTCTGTAGACCAGATTGATGATGCTGGTTGCTTTTACTTCTGTCCCTTTTTTTAATGCACCAAAAATATAATGGGATCCAAGGGATGCAATTAATCGATTGTCATTTTTAATCATTCAATCCTCATTTGGATATTCTGCAATAACAGTATACAATGTGTTTCAAGAAGAAAGGAAACGCTGCACAAAGAGAGTGGATATGCAGCCTGCCTTTAAAAGAATCACATTTGAAACAACAGGGGATAATGTGATGAATTGCAAATTTGCCTTCTGGCTTTATTCCCCCTGATTCAGTGATCACTGTCACGGGAAGCCCTTTTATATTCATGCTTCACATTCCAAGAGGCGTTCTTTTCTGCCTGTGGAGGAGATGTGCTTAGATGTGTGTATGGGCGCGGCGTTACTGCCGGGATGAGAAAGAGAGCGAGCGGGCTAGTGCAAGCTGTTGAGCAGGCTGCGATAAGGAAGAGGCTCACCAGCTCAGAGAAGCAATCGCATCCGAGCACTTGAAAATGTCAGTAATGGTTCCAGGGTCAGCCTCAAACCAAAGGGCTGTGTGTGTGTGTTTTGAAAAGGGGATAAATCACAGAAGGACCCTGTAATTACTTGAGACAAAAATCCTGTCTGAAACCAGCACACTAAACCTCTCTGGCCATTTTCATAAGGGACAGAGAACAAGTGAGTACACACACACACACACACACACACGAAGGGCACCACTCGCTCGCACTCACTTTGCCTTCCTTTGTTGACACCGTGAGCCTGGTTGTTGGAGACACCACAAGGACGGCTGGTTTGCTTGCCACTGCAGTTTGCACAGAGGATAACGTAAGAATCAAGGAAGAAAATGCAGGGAAGAATGGCAGTATGCCAAATTCTTAACAAACACTGTGCTTGAGAAGGTCTGAGTGACAGCCCATAAGTACAGAAAGCACCAAGCAAGGATGGCTGGGGGCCGGGGCGGGGCCACCATGTCCAGGCACGATGCTCCTCACAGACACTCGTGACCACGGCCTGCTGCTCAGTGCCTCAGCTAGTACAACAGAAGGACAGTCCTCAATCAGCTCATAAAATATGGATACTTTGTTGCTCCTAAGGCTTTGATCATTTTCTATACAGGTTTTGGTTTGGTTTTAGTTGGAAAATGCACTGCGAGTGAGTTACTGCCCTCTCCTGTACCACTGGGTACAACTCCAAACTCAGTACGCAGACGCAGAGGCCCTAGGACCTAGTATTTGTTTCGTGGCACTATTTGCTTTTATTAAAAAAGATTTTTTTATCACTTTGCATCTTGGATTTTTTTTTGCCTAAAATTTTAGGATGAATATGAAAAGATGTTAGGAAAACAACCCTAGGGGTTCCATTTTATCAACAATTCAATATAAAGTTGAAGTCCCCTCTGGCAAAATGGTTTTCATGTGTGTTATGTCACTTTCTACAATTTTAATTTCTCTCCTATTACAGATTAGGAACATCAGTGTAGTTTTTGTTTACCGTGTGCTGTAGAGAACTGTGTTTCCACTTCCAATGGATAACTTTGGTTATCCATTTGATTTGAATGATATTTGAGTGAAAAGATGTCCCGGTAAGATCTCCCTAAGATGTAACAGAAGGCAAAGCTGTAAGGGATGGAATAAACCTGCTGGAGTTCTCTCTCTGTCTTCCTCCAACTCCTCCACCATGTTGGTAGGACCACCCCCAGGACAAACAAAATTTTTTCCCTGTTCTAATGCCTAGACAGGGACCAAGAGTTTTCTGGGTATTTTTCTCACCAATATTATTTCCCCAGATGAGGTAAACAATTTTTGTGACAGGATTTAAGAGGCAGGATTTTCTGTCTCCTTCCATTGAGGTGCTGCACTGTAGAAAGGCCTGTAGCTCTTGCCTCCCCTTCTACCCCAGCTGAGGAGGGCTGTAGGCACCTGTGGACACCACCGTGGCAGCAGTGTGCTGGTCACCTTCACAGCTTATGAAGGAGCAAGATGTCACTTGCCTCAGTGCTCATCAGACAAACTAGCAAAAGGAAGCCAGGAGTTGCTGAGGAATTGTTCGACAGCGTTGCTAATGCCTTCTGCCTAGAAGGACTGCTTCTCTCCATGAGAGTTACTTGTCTTCCTCCACCTTCCTTACTGATGATTTTTAAAGTCTTGTTAAGCAGCATCAACCCATCCAGATCCTGGTTCTACTTTCTTGTGTCCAGTAATGGGTAAAAGCTCCCCCAACTCCCAACATACACAGCAAGGTTGCCTGGTCCTTCCCTTGGAAAAGTGACCCACGAAAATGTCCCACTCAGGATGGGCACCCACCAGACCTCACTGCCCTTGAGGAATTGTCTTAGTAAAAAGACCCTGATGTTGTTGCCTTTGGATTGTTTCCCATACATTCCTGGAGAGACCCTTTGCTGAGAAACCCATAAAGCAGACGTATCCTGTGGACTTACAGAGACGCCTCTGAGGAATAGGTGCTAGCTGCCTGGGGCTCCTCCCACAGCTATCCGCTGCCTTGGGCCTCAGGTCCCTGGGAGGGTGGTTTCCTCCCATGCAGCCAGGCCTGTGATGGCTTCTAAGCAGCCTATGTGGCTCCTGGACCCAACACTCCAAAGTGTTTAAGGAGAAAGGTCAGTGTGTAGAAATTTCACATACTGTGGAGGCCAGAGGGCCAAGGACAGGGGAAGCTGCTGTCTCTGCTTGCTCTATTCTATTGCTGGTAGTTTGTTTCAGGTGAAGAGAAATCCAGGCAAGTAGTTTTTGAGTCCAACAGATGGATACCGCCTTTTTTTTTTTTTTTTTTCCTGTTCTTACCTGATTTTGTTTCTGCTTTTGGGGAACAAGCTACCTGGCCAGAAGACAGGGAAAAGTTACAAAGAATGGTGGGCTCCTGCCACTGCCATCTCCCTGGGGTCCCCTCTGCCATGATCTGTTCCCTCCCCTTATTTACCCATTGGGTTGGGATCTGAGTCAGATACCCCAAAGGCACCAACTGTTCTAAGACAGGAAGTCAGTGAAGCTAAAGTGAGCTTAGGAAATTCATTTGGAAACCAAATGTAGCCTTTCCCACCTTTCTTCCCCCGCCCCCCGCATTTATAACACCCCACCTAGCCTAGGACAGACCAAACTGCACCTCTGAGAGCAACCCCCCACCAAAGGACAGTCAGTGCATCCCAGGCCCCTAGGATGACGGTTACTCAAGAACAGACTGGAAGAGCCTCCCCAGCAGCCTGTGGGGTGATGGGGGAGGGGACACATTTTGTTTAGATGCTTCTTCTGGGGCCTGGGGCCAATGAAAGAGAGGGACCGACCCTAACCCTGGCCCCCCTGCTCACAGTCTGTCAGAAATCTCGGCATTCCTAGGTGCTCAGTCAGCCTGGCAGGGACAGCGTGGGCTACAAAACCTACAGTCAGAAATTCAGCAAAACAAAGATGGCTCCGTACCTCAGAAATATGTGACTGCTCCAGATTCAGGGACGAACTCAGGCTTCTCAGAGACCATCCCATGGCGCCATGATTATTTTCTTGGCAAGGTTCGTTTCACTTGATGGTGCACACTGCATCCTGGGCGCATTTTTACCAGGTGTTCATTTATTCCTTGACTTAAAGCGTGGAAGCTTCCACAACAGTGGGAAAGTACGCGCTGCCTCCCAGGAGCTCACAGTTCAATGAGCTGGACGCAAAGGCAGTGAGGACGTGAAGAGCTCGGGCGTGTCTAGACTGAGGGCTGGTGCACGCTGGTGACAAGAATCAGGAAGACCTCGGGAAGAGTGGAGTCTAGCAAGTAAAGCATGGTGGGTCTCTGCTTTAGCAGGAAGTATGGGAAAGACCCCTAAAGAGACGTTTGATTTCTGTAAGGAGTCAGGAAGGCATAGCCCAAGTCAGCCCTAGAAAATGGACAAACAGATGAGTGGGCTCTGTTCCAATAAAGCTTATTCTAAAGCAGCAGCTACAAGGAGGGATGTACTGATTTCCATTCTAGGCTGAGGCCTGCAGCAGCACAGCATGGTGTGGGGGGCGGGGGAAGCTATAAGCCCAACAAAGGCAGAGAAGAAGGGGAGATCTGGGCACCTGGAACTATGCCACAGCATTGACTGACTCAAGGGTCCTGGAGGAGGTGTCCATCAAGCCTAACGTTTGTGACCATTAGAATCTAAATCAGATATCTCATTCATTTCTAAAAAGCAGGTAAGTACCTCTTCGTTGTCAGAGTTTATCATTGAAGGGAACCTTCTTTCTCTCCAGTGTGTCGTGGACAATTTGAGCTCTCCAACCTACATCGCCTTCTAACTCAGCAGTTCAACCAGAGTAATCACTGCCTTTTTTGTCAAATGATGGAAGCAGGTACCTGAGGGACATGCAAAGAGTAAATCCAAACACTGGAATAGAATTTCCAACTCTTCCCTCTTCCCCACCAACACAGAACAGTGGCGTGCTAAAGCTAACAGTCTGCCAGGTGGAATAATCTATAAGCACTAATAATAGCTCGTCATAACTTAATATTCATCATGCACTTACTCTGCACTAGCTGCTGAGCGGAGCGTGTTACATGTATTTGTTCATTTAATCTCAATAGTAACCCTGTGGAGCAGTAACTGTCACTGTCTTCATCTTACAAGGGAGGGAAATGAGATTTGGAAGGCTTTCCCAACTGGCTCAAGATCCCAGCAGAGCTGGGGTTGTAACCCAAGTCTACAACTACAAAGCCCATGTCCTTAACCACTTTGGTGTTCTCTCCCTACCAGGCAAGATAGGAGGGACAATTCCCCACCTGTAGTCTCTGCCCCAAATGGACTAGAGGTCCCACACTCTTGTGTGCCTTCTGATGTGACATACAGGACACTATGGCGAGTATATCCTGGGGACATCTGCTCTTCCTGTGTTGTTTCTGATCTCTGCTCCATTCATATGAGGTATTCCACCCAACATTGGCTGGGCAGATGCTGAGACAGAAAATTTTCCCTGCCAATGCATTGAAAATGCATTTTCAAAGCTCAGTGTGCCTGGTGGCCCCCTTCAGGGAGGTAAGCAGCAGGGGGACCAGCCCACTCACACGCCTCCTGCCTGCCTGACACTCCTTCAGTCCCCAACACCCACCTCCAAGCCCGTCCCTGACCCAGGGGCTTCAAACCCATGGAAAGTGCTCGCCAGCTGGGTATGCCTTACTCTATCCCTAGATTTCAGGCTTTTAGGGAGAGCCGATGTTGACGTTCTTATTTTTGTAATAATAATGACTCAAGTAAACAATCAGGAATTGACAATAATCGTAAATTTAGACTATTTTTTTCCCTAAGGTGGAAGTGATTATGTTCTTTCCTGATGAGCAAATGGAACAAGGCAAATTTTCTGGAGGTTTAGCATTCTGCAAGATGAGAAGTTTGCCATTTCATTAATGTTTTTCTTAAATTCGCACTAACCGTAGAAGGCAGCCCTCATAGAGACGCGTTTACCAGGACTGTTTTATGATAGTCTAAGGCCATAAAATGAACTGGAACCCTGCAGTGCTGAAAGTTTCATTAGAAGAGGAAGCAAACTAAAACAGAAACTGCGCTCTACTCCAGCGCCTTAAAGGCGGGAAGGGTCTGGGAGCACTTGTTTATTGAGAGCCTCCCACTCATGCGCCAGGTGTCAGGAACATTTCTCTCCCAGCAGCTTTTCACACCTGCCCTGTGAGGTAAGTATTGGTTTTGTTTTGTTTTGTTTTGTTTTGTTTTTGTTTTTGTTTTCCACATTACAGAACAGAAAACTAAACCTCAGCAAACGTGAGCATTGTAGGTCGCACAGCTAGTTAGAAAGGTCACCTCCAGGTGCCTTGTCTAGGCCTCTCTGATTCCTGCCCAGAGCCCTTTCCAGTACGCCACACAACACCAGCGTGAGAACCCGGATGTGGCTTCCTAGGAAGCCAACGGCGCATCGACCACTGGGAGTCCCTGCAGAAATCCATAGTTTCCTAGAGAAACAAGCCAAGAGCTGGAGGTGAGAGTACCTGCACGCTTCTGCCTATGGGCACAGGAATCTAAGATGAGAAAAACTGTGTTTCACTTTAATAATTAAGCAGTGCAGACCTTTAAAAACACTGCTTCTTTCTTCAACCTTAGCCACATCAGCGGAAGTTTCAGAGCCAAACATCACCCACTGTCTATTCATTCTCCTGAGCAAGACAGGACCCCGGCTCTCAAATTTGTCCCACTGTTCACAGCTCCCAAAGACTTTTAGGAGAATCCCAAAGGCTGTACAAACTTGAGCCTTGCCAAGGTTGAGGAAGGAGGTTCAAATTGCCCAGAACACGTGGGCTTCTTC